GATAGTAGAAATAGCTCTGACTGAAAAGAAAGGTCTTGCTTAGTCTTATCACAACAGCCTATGCTTTATCAATGCTAATAATTACTTGTCTTTACTTCAAAAATGTTCCAGGCAAAGTTTTGTATTTACTTCCTTTTTTTGTACTATTGGACAGTAAAAATCTTGTACAATCTCAAAATAACCCGGGACTTTGTCAAAACTTTGTTATATTTTTGTTATAAATATTAAAAAACTTAAAAATTTTCATTGAGGAGTAATTTTTATACACAAAGGAATGGTAAAATGGCGGAGTGCAAGTACCCCACAATCAAACGGTAAATGTTCCGCACAAAGTTTCTCCAATCCGGATGATACTCACTAGAAACACAGGTATAATGATTGAGAATAGCTACAAAACCAGGGACCTGGATATTTCTGTTCCTAGAGAGAAATGAAGGCTCCTACATTTTAAAGCCCATTGAGTGCCCTGTATAAAATGAATAATAGTATACGGAAAATAACCCGGAATATTGTACTACGTGACCCCTCATTTCTGGACCTGTTTATTTATGTCTGTGGTGAGTTCGGTGATGAATAGATGACTATCTCACCATAAATGACTTGCAAATGCTGCTGTACCTCTCCTAAAAAATCTGTGGCTGCTCATAACAATCATGAAAACATTTAACTAGATTCTTAACTTTTAATTGGGGCGAGCCTGAGCTCGCCCCACTAAGATGAGTACGGGTCTGTATGTATGCACGGGCACAATACGGTGGTCTAACTATTATTAAAGTTAAATAGCCTAATCTTCATTGAAAACGGGTGTGGTCACAATGAATAAAATGGCAGCTATCAGCAAGTCTGAGTTTATTTGCAGCAAACTGTCGCCAAGGTAAGACTAAACTGCTGTCCAAAAACATCTCTAGCAATAAGGAAGGTTGGAAAAGCAGATATACAGTTTTTTCCTGGGTATAAAGGACTCTGATAAGTTGAATGCAAGTGAGAATGTACTGTATAGCCTAGCTGCATGGTGAGATCTATTCTAGGTGATGTTTCTTCTCTAGCAGCAAGCCTAGGTTAACAAAGCAGATACACAATCTTCAAATATGATTTTTGCAGTGATTGCTTCTAAGCATCTTTAATGCTATCAGTAAAATAAGTTTAATTCCTGCAGACTGAGATTCTTGAGTGTTGAAGTGACTATAGATCTACTGTATTAGCCTTATTGACATGTACAGTTGCTTTGCTTGCTCATGTATCATACAGCACATAGATAATCTATGCCTTGCTTAGGCTCGCCCCCTTAATGCATTGCATTCTCCCTAGTAATTATGATGCCTGTGGTGTGCTATAATGGAGGTAATGATAATCATAGTTCATAAACACAATATAGATGGACACTAAAATAACAATGAGCAGCTGCTTGACATGTGACCACCAAGACTGGCTTTTATAATAACAGTGCAGCAAAGTCAGTCTACTACAGCAAGTCTGGCAAGGCAGAGAGCAACAGAGGCAGAAAGTCAGTGATGGCCAGTCCGTCATCAGGACTTAATTCTGCATCAAGGACCCAATTAGGTAAGAAAGAAACCATTGTATTATCATCATTGTTATTAACTATAAAAGGTCAGAAACATCTTGATATTGTGCTCAATGCATGTAAAGGATGCTGTGCTCATTGGGAAAAACTAGGACTGAGATTAGGCCTCCATAATGACACAATAGAACAGATAAAAAGAGATGAAAATGAATGCACTGAGCGAATGAGAGTAATGCTGACAGGGTGGCTGAAAGGGAATTATGAAGTGTCAGAAAGATATCCAGAACCATCCCAACATTCACTGTGTATTGCAGTAGCTGGGATTAACAGAAGCCTGGCAGAAACTATAAGCAATGATCCATTATTCAGTGACATCAATAATACACAAGGTAAAAGAAGAGTAGTGTCTTTGTAACACAACATTAGAGTAGTATTTACTACATAAAAACCTTATATACATTAATGCACTATAATAATGAACAATTATGTGCTACATCTACATATAGACCACCCGCACATTAGGTAACACTTCTTTGAAGTCGGCAAAACATTGCGGTACATGTGGCCAGGCACACCCACTGGTTGGCAAGAAGCAAAATGGTTGTGAGCTATGGTGTCGTTGGGTGTCAAAAAAGGCATGGAAAAAACAAGAAACTGTTTGGCTTCTGAAGAATCCCAATTTTGCCAAAAAGAAGCTAAAAAAGTTGTGGATAAACACTATAAAGAGAAGAAACAGGAAACTAACCAAACATACACAACTATGTGGAGATCATGTAATTCTAATGTAATTATCTAGGAAGGTCGGTTGATAATCATAGGCAGATCTAGACCCAGGTAGATCAGACTAGATTCTACTTGAGACCACACCCAGTGGTGTGGTTTGGTTATAATAAGGGCTGGATTGCATGATAACACTGTTATATTCTTATCACAATACATCTGAACAATCACAAAAGACAGTAATAACAATATACATAGTTCCTGCAGCAGGTCAGGAAGTCTTAAGTGGTCAATAATTAACTACTTGACAACACCCCTTCATAAATATTAATGAGCCTGGGTGGTCTTGAAATCCTAGATCCGCCTACATTGATAACTAGAGCTGAAACAGATATCCTAATTATCCAGATTTTATTATTCAAGTATCCGGATAGTAATTATTGACAAATAGGATAATTAAACTTAATAACTAGACTTTATAATTAATTAATGCATTTCCCTCAGTTAATGACGCGCAATAAAAGAGTAAGTTCTTGAAGCTATCAGCCTTTTCAGCCATTTATTCATCTTCTTTGAGCTTTCCAACTACCAGAAATGTACACTTAGCTTTTCTGATGTCTGCAGTCAATAACTAATTAACTATTATTAATTAACTATCAGGAAGAAATTTAAACAGGATATCCAGATAATGAAATGCTACATCCGTTTCAGGTCTATTGATAACCTTATGCTGATATAGAATATGTCCGTACTGTTTTTTGCCTATAAAGCAAAGAGTAATAAGAGACGAACAGTGTCAGCCAAAGAAACAAGCTGCCTTATAGTTAAAGAAACTTAGATCAAACTTTCTTCGTCCTCTTTTAAAGAAACAGCATAAATTGTCCTAACATGTCCACTTTTGTAGTAGTTAGTTGTAGGCCTCTAGTTCTTTCCAGGACATGACCTGCTCTAGTGTGAATAGCCCAGGCCCAATAACAAAGTAGGTGAAAACTATATGGCCAAACTCTAGATTTGGCCAGTTCCTGATCTCTGATGTGAAATGGATGCTGTTTTTTTCAGGCAAGAGTCATTCATCATTGATTATCTAAAAAACAGATTTCAGCTTTGACAACATAGCTGCTTTCTGGCATCCTCAAACAAAGACATAAAATGCTCACTCCTCATACAGTCATTTTGCTTTTTGCCAGCCAGTGGGTGTGCTTGCCCATGTGTACCCCAATATTTTGCTGACTTCAAAGAAATATTACTTAATGTGTGGGTGGTCTATTGCATGCAATTAGTCAATATACATGCAGTGATGACAGCTGCATGAGTGCATGACACATATTAGCAAAATTAAATTGATGATTATTGAATTTTGTATTACCAGTGACTGTAGTTCTAAATTTCAAAATAAATGCCCCCTATATATTTCCTACTCTGCAGAATGCCAAAATAGAGATATATTTGTAAAACATTGTACGGTATGTGACATGAGAAAACTGCAACTCTTTCTATACCCTAAAACAAATGTTTTGTAGATTTTAATTTTAAAATACAAGTGAACACAAAATTATATTTTCTTTAGAATAACAGATTAATTATGATATGTGATACTATAGGATCCAATAACAGCAGACCTCCATACACAAAACAAGAATTGATGCAGCTCTGTACTTGCACTAAATGTGACGAGGAGACAATAATCACCACGGGCTGCTCTGACAGAAAAGACTTCCATGCTCTTGATACCAAACGACTTTCACAAGAACAGTGGGAAGTATATTTAGGTTATGCCACAGAAAAAATACAAGAAATGAAAGACGAATGGAGTGAAACTTATGATAAAATTAGTCAATCAAT